GATGGTACAGAGTTGTGTTTGAAATGATCGCAAAATAAAAACCATGCCCCTTTGTTACCCACCACGGTTTGAAATCCACGAATGAATTAACAATTTAACAAATGCGGCCGAAGGAGGGAATATCACCGGCATGCTACTTGTTATTCTAAGGAATTCAAAGTTTGATCCCTGTTGCTCAGAGGGAATCCCAGCGGACGTCAAGTCGCCTAATGCAAAATTTCACCGTGTTTGTGTGCACTCCAAATTTTATCAAAACTTCAAAAACTCATTAATAATTCATAAGCCCATTAACCTATCAAATGGTAGATAATACATCACGTGCAGTGACTTTATATCGATAAACCTCATCCTTATTAGTATGCGGTGTTTTATCAGATATAAAGACACTGCACGTGACTTATGAATATAGGTTTTTGTTTTTCTCATATGCTAATTTCTAACGTTCACAAAAGCATAATTGTTATGAACTCTCTTGACACACGCTTTTCCAAGAATGTTTTTGAAGCCGTTCGCAGCAGCACGTGTTTTATCGGGTCAAAAACCACTCGGCTACGCCTCGTGGTTTTAAACCCGATAAAACACTCCTGCTCGTTTTTTAAACATTACTTAACGATATTCAAGATCTGAGCTTTCATGTGATATAAGTTTCATTAGTTTTGATAAGGAATTGCATTCATAGGAACGAAAGTCGTGTTTAAGGTCATCTCGACATTCTCTGTGCCTAATACGAAGAAAAAACGCCAAGTCCCTCACATGCTTTTAATGTTGTAGTATATTACCGCATCTTAACTTTCATTTGATGTAAGTTTTATACGAATTCATGAACATCAGTGAAAATCACTCGGCTAAAATCTCTCTGGTTTCGCTGTACGTAAACTGATCAAAATTTCCTTGACATCAACATGTTTTATTTATTGTTCCATAATTGAGACATGAAACATAACGTTTGAGTCCCATTCGCCGTGTTTGTTCACGCCCTTAATTTTGCAGTAGATTACAACAACTTAGCTCTCATTTGTTGTAAGTTTCATACGACAGGCTACACATAACGTCTGAGTCCAATCGCCACCGGTGACGAGTAGCCTACCCAAAGACGTAAAAAATTCTTCGATGTTGGGCAGCCAAATCCGTGCACCTTGCATAGTGCTTCTCAAACTTCACTGATCATTTGCCTCTATTTCCGCCATTTCGAAAGTGTTAGTTTCCGGGGCTTCTTGTTTAATCTGACTTCCTGTCATTTCTATTTCCGCTTCTTCATCTTTTAGTTTTATTGAACATCTTTTAGTTATATAAGGTCACGCGTGAATGAGTCAGGAAAGCGATGTATGCTGCACAGCATCGATGTATGACATCCAAAATCGATGTATTCCGGATGAAATTGATTTATTTTATTTTAAGACTTGTATTATAACGCATAACAATAACGTAATTGAACAAAACATTAATGTATCCATGTTAGATATTTTGTCCGTAAAAGAACCTCATAGTTATAGTACATTAATTGCTGACTTAAGATGAACAAAATCTACGATGATTACCAATACAGCTCTGAAATTTGGTATCTGAATTATACGTTTGTCTAAATATCTCACTTAAGTTAAATGAAATGTCAATCGACTCATTTATGGTATTTTTTCGTCTTCCCAGGGGGCCTTTTAAAAGCTCCGCATTGGGCTACTTGAAACGACCTGCATGATTAGAATTGAGAAAGCTGTATTCACGATTTCAGCATCGATTTCCTCAAATTGCCTCAAACTCAAATTCTGCGAAGAGATAGAGCTGTATCTCATCGATCAACAACCGTCGCCACTAAGGAAAGAGAAGTTCCCTGTAAAAATTCTCATATACCGTGCATACTACGTTTATTCCCTCAGCTTGTGGTGTATTTGTGCACGTGTAAAAGCTCGTAATGTGCATTGAAACGAGTATCAACTCTTTCAGAAGCTTTGTTTTTTACTGTGAATTTCATGAAGTTTGTTGTATTGTTGAGATATGACTTCTATTGTTGTGCGATCGGTTAGGGTCATTTGATTCTCACTGAGAACGTGGAACTGAAGTTAAGGAGGTTATAAGATTCCCTTAGCAACAGACTTTGATCCAATAAAATGTTGTGTTTAATTTGAGAACATAGAAAAATTATTGCATAATGCCATGCTTTCAGGGGTGAAGAAGTCAGTTAAAAACCGAAAAAAAGCCAGGACCTAAAAAGGGGAAAAACTTTCAAATTTTCGGATTACAAATGAAATATGAAATTATCACCAGGGTTCCATGGGGCTCTAATGTTGAAATATTCCGTAATAAATCACAGACCAGCAAATTCAGAATTCAAGATTTCCGTAAGAATCTTCGTTTTCGTAGTGTGCCTCATGAACATAATCTTTGTCCACTGAGGTAATACCAACCTCTTTTGAACTTGTTTTAGTAATGTGTCTTCGTTTTCGTGATGGGTCTTCGTTTTCGTAGGGTGGTCTTCATTTCCGTAATGGGTCTTTGTTTTCCTAAGGGGTCTTAGGTCTTCGTTTTCGTAACTACCTATGTGCACTGCGGATGAAGAAACGAATATAGATCGTTTTCACGTGACGTCACAGAATTAGTTTACGCCATGTTGCATTGGTGCACATCTGAATCACCCTGAGTCACGTGTTTCAATCATTATTATATGCACTACACGGTCCAAATTTATAGATCCAGACCATGTCGTCCAAATTCCACTGTCTGATTACGTTAAAAAACTGGATGTAAAAGTCAGAGAGCGTTATCTAAAGAAGATTTCGACCACCGGTATCGATCCCGTTTTGATAGATGGCAAACGCTTGGAACCTGATTGCTTACCGTCGGCAGAATCGTCTGATTTCCTCTGCTATTTGGTTCTAGAGACTAGCTATTATGCGCAAAAACAATTTAAGCCTTCCGGAGTCTCGAGGTCAACAATCAAATGGTGTCGGGCTTTGTTTGCGACCTTCGCAGTTATGAATGCTACAGAACTAGTATGAAAATAAGGCCTGAAAAAAAAGTCAAGTCCTTGAGGGATTTGAACCCATGACCTTTGCACCGGTATCGGTACTAATGTGTAGTTTGTGTTAGTTATATACCTCAAAAACCGGGCACGTAAGGATTTTTTTCCGGAAGGCACTCGCAAAGGTTTTGAGGAACCTTGATTAAGCATGGCTGGGGTATCCCTCGGAGGATTGGGGCGAGTAGAGGAAGACATGTGACTTGGCTGTTTGTTTTGCAGGATGGATAGGTGTGAGAGTGATCAATGTTTCGGCGAGAATGTGTCATTTTCCGTCGAATTTTGCTAAGGTAAGAATGTAATTTATTAACTTGTCCCCGTAAGCATTTCTAGCTCTTGTTCTAAACTATAGGATGTCTATCAGTCTTGAATGCGATCACTGAAACCCAAGTGAAATTGAAGTTTAATTTAAGCTGAGAGCTGAGAACGACCGTCTATGCTTTCGATAGGAATTATAACTGTTGGTAACTTAAAAAAATCACCAGCTTATTTTCTGTCCTTCGACAAAGCACATTAGGGTATGTGTCACGAGGCTATTTACGACCCGTTTAAGTGATACCTCGTTAAATTTGGTTCTCGTAGATTAAGGGTTGTTACGCATGAAATTATCCACACGAGAGTTATGCTCATACGAAAGGGTCTATTTTTCTCCCGTCGAGACTCTTGTGAACGGGAACTTTCAGTCTCTCAAAACGCGAAAGTCAACTTTTATTCCAAAATCTTCTCAAAATAGCAAAATTATGCACCAACAACGTCTATTTTTGCGAATCGATCGTTAAATGCTGTTTACCAAAAGAGATTATGTCTCTACAATGTCTTGCGTTTACCTGAGATCACGGCATAAAATGGCTTCTTCGAAAATATCTTAACTTACTTACAAAGCGTTTTTTAAACACAAAAACTTACATAATACCAGAGTACTTACATACAGAGCTCCAGAACTATAATCGTGGAATGCCCCTCTCCCTGAGACCAGCTGGTCTAAAATGGAATGTGACGACAATTTGGCGGTACTTGGAGAGTATATATGCACAAGCTCGGAGAATTTGTCATCTAAAAAGCAGTTTTTGGAATCGCTCGACATTTCTAAACAGATTTCTTAAAATACAGCGTTGAAAGGTGAAGTAAAGGCGAGTCTGTTTCGCTTTTGAAAAGCAAAATCAGCGGCCGCACGTGTCGTAACTAATGAAGAACATTCAAATAAGGTCTGACTGGCTTAGAGTTGTGTGTTTGCTAAGTGAGATTGCACGCTTTATTGGCTCGTTCGGCGTGGTATGCAAGATAAACAAGCTACAC